CACCCTTTTAAATGTAGGGTTCTAAGTGCTTTGACACATGTATTATAACCTGTAACCACAACCACTGTTGGGCCTTACAAACTAACGCCACCTTAAGTGACATTACAAGCGGTGCCATTATGGGCCCACAAGGGCGTATGCGTATTAACGTGGCAGCCTAAGATGGCGCCGGGAGGAAGTAGGGTGGGAGTGTCTGCGGGAACCTTGCCTTAGCCCTTATTGGCCAAATACCGCTTCCGGGCTCACGAACACTGCCTGATTGCAATAGCTAGGCATTGAGATAGGATGCATGCTCTCATAACCTTTAAGCTGATTGAAGGATGTAAAAAACCTCCCTTCCCCATTTGCATTTAAAAGCAAGTGCTTGTGTGATAATAAATGGAACTGCTCGACAGAACCCCTGCCGCATCTGAGTGTCCTTTAATGGGCTGGTTGGGGCCGGCGGCTGTGCTCACCTCTCTTCACGGCTCTCTTCCCCCGTCTCCTCCCAATGGGGACCGGAGGGAAAGAGGAATATGGGCAATTCGCTCACCCACTAAGGGAGAGACTGATAACGAGGCTAGGGCTGTTTGGGTCGGCCGGCAGCAGACCCGACAAACCACCATCAAGATTCAGAATATTTCTCTTATCCCCAAAAGTTCTCTTATTTCCCTTTACAGTCAGTCCCCTTCTCTCACTTCCAGCCCCTGGCAATGATTTCTGTCCTTATATTTTTACCTTTTCAGGAATGTTAAATAAATGGAATTATAAGTTATGTACTCTTCAGTGTCTGTCTTCCTTCACTTAGCATAATGCTTTTGAGATTTATCCTTGTAGTTCATTAGTAGTTCATTCCTTTTTATTATTGCTTGGTGTAGTATTTTGTTGAAAACTATTACAATTTCTTTCTGTTCAGCTGTTGACAGATATTCGGGTTGTTTCTTTTTGACAATTACAAATAAAGTTGCTTATAAGCTAAGCATTCGTGTACAGGTTTTTGTGTAGGCATGTGTGTTGATTTCTTCTGGATAAATAACTAGGAGTGGAATTTCTGGGCTATATGGTAGTGTATGTTTACCTTGGAAACCGTCAACCTGTTTTCTGGAGTGATTGTACCATTACACATTCCCATCCGCAATGTGTGAAAATTCCATGTTCTCCACATCTTGGTTTCATTAGTCTTTAAAATTTTAGCCATTATAATAGATGTGTAGTCATATCTAGTATTTAAATTTGCATCAGTCATCTCTAATGACTAATGATATTGAGTAAATTTCATGTGCTTATTTTCCACTCATATATTTTCTTCAGCAAAGGTGCCCATTTTTAAATTGGGTTCTCTTCTTGAGTTGTAAAAGATCTTTATATTTTGAAGATAAGGAGCTTTTTGTCAGATATTTGTTTAACACATATTTTCTGTATCTGTGGCTTTTCATTCTCTTATCAATGTCTTTCAAAAAGTAGATGTTTTTAATTATGATGAGGTGTAATTTATGATTTTTTTTCTTTTATGATTGTGCTTCTTGTGTCCTATGTCAGGGTCACAAATGTTTTCTCATAAGTTTTCTTCAAGAAGTTTCTAAAACTCTTATATTCAGTTTTGTGATCCATTTCAGGTTAGTTTTTGTATTTGGTGCAAGGTGAGGGTCAAGATTCATTTTTTTTTTTTTTTGCATACGTATGTCCAGTTGTTTCAGCACCATATGTTGAAGTGAATATCTTTTCCCCAGTGAATTGCCTTGGTACTTTTGTCAAAAATCAGCTAACTATATATGTATGGATCTATTTCTGGATTCTTTCTGCTCCAGTATCATACTGTCAATATCATACTGTCTTGATTAGTGTAGCTTCATAGTCTTGAAATTAGGTAGCATGAGTCTTCCAACTTTGTTCTTTTTTCAAAATTGTTTTGGCTATTTTGGGTGCTTTCTAATTCCATATATTATTTTAGAATTAGTTTGCCAATTTCTACCAAAAACCTGCTGAAATTTTGATTGGGATTGTGGTAAACTGTAGATTTATAATGTGTTTATTCTCCAAACTCATCCATGCTCCTGCAAATGGCAGAATTTCATTCTTTTTTATGGCTGAGTAGTATTCCATTGTGTGTATGTACCACATTTTATTTGTCTAGTCATCTATCAGTGGACATTTAGGTTGGTTACATATCTTGGCTATTGTGAGTAGAGATGCAATAAACATGAGAGTGCAGGTATCCTTTTGACATGTGATTTCCATTCCTTTGTGTATGTACTGAGTAGTGGGATTGCTGGATTGTATGGTATTTCTATTTGTAGTTTTTTGGGAAACTTCCATACCGTTTTCCATAACAGTTGTACTAATTTACAGTCCCACCAACAGCCAATACTATTTTTTTTAAAGTGTCTTTTCTTCAGTGATATTAGATGCTCCTTTATCATATACAGTCATGTGCTGCATAACAGTGTTTCAGTCAATGATTGAGCAGAAAAGTTCCTGTCACCCAGTGACACTGTAGCCATGGTAATGTCATAGTGCAAAGCATTACTCATGTTTGTGGTGAAGCTGGTGTAAACCAACCTACTGTGCTGCC